AGTTAAAATCAAGACCATGTACTTTTTTAGGGGTGCTTTGATATTAAATAAAAAAATGTGTGCCTTCCTTATGATCGTTAGAGTCTTTTTCCAACTATTTCGGGTCAGCTACACAAATCCTGATTTGTCATTCTACACCATCAGAAACCACACCCCAGTGAAATTAAATCGAAAGATATAAGTAAAATGTTAAATTATTCCTCTAGTATGTGTAGCTTGTTATTTTTTCTAATTATCAGAATAATAAGAGGAGATTGAGAAAATAATTAATACATTGAAAAACGACCATAGAATAAAATCAAATTCTATACATCACAAATAAAAAAATACTTTTTTGTTATATCAGAAACAAGAAGCCTATATGCAAAATGAAAACAGATGAAAAGTGAATTTTAATAGTTCACACTCCATGAGAACTGATGAGTTTTTGAATTTTTTTGCCATACATTATCATGATATCCAAAACCTCACGAATCCAAGAACTTAGGAGTGGTTTTTTGTGAAAATAAACTTTTGATTCGACAGACAACTCAGAAGCAAGCTTAGAAAGAAAACTTCAAGCAACACTGAGCCAGGATTATGAAAATTTTGTAGGTTTTCAAACTTTTGAAAAACCCTAGAAAAATTCAAGCAAAATCATCTAAGATTATTTATTATTTTCCCTCAAATATAAATAAAGGAAAAATAGATGGGTGATCTGAGCTCAAGGCTAGGTGGTTAGGGTGGTGTGAGGTTCTAACTTGTCCTATTATTGTTAGGAAACCCTTCCCTGTTGAATTACCCAAACAAAATACCCTTTTACGAATCAATTTGAATCTAGGTGGTCAGGGTACCGTAAACTGACGCCTTGAGTTTCATTTCTATCACGAATAGTAGATCATTTCCCAACTGAATAACCCATGAAAAAAATTATCTTACTTTTTTAAATGGAAAGGTTACAGAACTCGACGAATTTTGATAAGCTGGCCAAGTCTTTAATAACTCTCCTAAGTTACTGCACACTAACTTAGGTGTTTCAGGCTCCCTAATTGTTTAAAAAACTCGGTCGAATCTAAGTCGGACTCAAAATTTTGAAAGACTGATGAAGAGATCACATTCTAAAAATAAAGAGAGAGAGAGAGAGGGAAACATACGGATGAAGAAAGTGTTCAAAGAGCCATGCTCTTAGTATGTTGACAGATCTCTCAGGCAGACCTCTTTGTGGCCTCCATGCTTCTTGATCCATCATACCCAGTTGATGAAAGGCCCTTTGTTGCCTCAAGCTTTGCTCAAGCAATTTGAGTCTCGGTGTTTCTCCCTTGGTTACACCTGATCTCTCCCCTTCTTTCTCTCCCAAGAGCTCAGAGATGAGCTTCAACTGGCCATTAATGGCGTCTCTCAGGCACCTGAAATGCCTCGACATCGCCTTCTGTGCCAATACGGTGTACGGGGTTGCCGCTCCGATGCCGACTATCGAGTCGAAGGAGTTCACCACCATTTGCATTTGGTCGCAGTAATGGCTGTATCTCCTGTCTACCTGCAGCGGTAGAGAGAGAAAGGTGAGGATGGTTTGGTGAGGATCTCCTCTCTCTCTCTCTCTCTTAGATCTCATCATACAATACAAAACAAAAGGTAGTCTCTCTCTACAAGTATTACACAGCAAACAATAATCTCTCTCTCCTCACACAATACAAAACTTACAAATCAAACAAGAGTTTGTCTGTCCATGACAAAGAGATTACGCAAACGAAACAATACTCTCTCTCTCTAGAGATAGGTTTCTAAAAAAATAAGCAACCTCAACAGACTCCACAGTCTTCTTTGTGAAGCATTAGACGGTTGTTATATGCATGAAATGAAACAAAAGGGAGAAATGTACACACATGGAATACTGGTGGTTCAACATTGCATTTATTTTTGCATTCATCGATAATAGTACAAATTAAATCCTGTATTGATGCCTAGGCAGCTGCAGAACTAACTCCAAAAATAACTCTCTTTCTCTCTCTAAAAAGCTCTCTCTCTACAAAGCTGTCTCTCTCAATGTCTTTCACTTTGTTTCTTAAATTTTTAGTTTGGTGGTCATTGATTTTCAACTCTAGAGTTCAGGATCTGCTGTTTTTAAAGCTATTCATTCTGTTTTTTTCTTTTGCCATTTTCATAATGCAAGTTTTATGGGTGGTGATTGATACTTGGTATCAGAATACCAGTGTACTCTCCCATCGCCTTCCTGTTCACACAACTTCTGTTGAGTTGTTGCAGGTTCAGTTAGCGAGAGAAACAATCGTTTACCTAATGAGAAAATGGCATCAAATGAAAAGGAAACCCCTTCTGGCTTTCCCCAAAGACCCGAAACAGAAGGAATAAATAAATGGGGCGGAGGCTAGAGAGAGAGAGAAAGAGAAGAGAATATACCAAGAAACAGTAGGCCTTCTTTAAGCAATTTATTTACTATTCTATTCACTATCGTATGAGGCTTGAGGTCAAATATGGATCGAAAACACACTCTCTCTCTCTCTCTCTTCTTTCTCTCTCTAAAAACTTACCTTGAATGGAATGAATTTCTTGGAGTAGCAGCCTGTGGCTTTTTCAGAGACAATAAAAATGAAGCATTTTTTTTTAGGGGGTGATGGCGATTTCCCCAATCAAAGGGTGCTGTCTTTTCTAAGTGGACATTACCTTGTATGGCAACCGCTGAGGTATACAAAAACAGTATACTCTCTCTGATAAATCACTACCATGGCAGAATCACGCAAAAAGCCTATAGCAATAATCTATGGAAAATGAAGCAAAGGAAAAAGAAGTCAAAAAATAAATTAGAACCATGAATAGTAACTAAGTTTTTCACAGTAAGAAGTAATGCATAGGCCCCTGATAAGAAAACAGTGAAGAGGACCTGAGGTTTCCTTTGAGAGAGGAAGGAGAACGAGGAGAGAGAAACTACTTTCTCTAGAGAGAGGAGAGAGAGGGGGGAAACGGAAGAGAGAGAGAGTTGGGGATTTATTGGGCTCATCAAAAACACGAGATAGAGAGAGAGACAGAAGAGATGTTATCTAAGCACATGCAGTAGAGAGCTCTCATCTAGAACCAGAGAGAACGTAATCTGGAGAATTGCTCTGAATTGCACATGCAATAGAGAGAGAGAACATAATCTGGAGAATTGCCTTGAATTACTGAGAGAGAGAGAGAGAGAGAGCTCTTCACATGCACGAGAGTGAGAGAGGAGAGAACTTTGTGTGCTCTTCGACACATGCACCCTACTTTCTAGAGAGAGAGAGAGCACTGTGCTCATTAGACGTGCATAATTAGGGTAGAGAGAGAGAGAGCACTGTGCTCTTTAGACGTGCATAGTTAGGGTAGAGAGAGAGAGAGACTTGCCTCATCAACCATAGACAAGAGCTTGGCCTTTCTCCGCTGGTGCTCAAACCGATCCGCCGAAGAGAGAGGAGGTGGCGGTGGCTGCTCCCTTGAGCTCGAAGAAGTGGATGCGTTATTTGCCCCCGAATTCGAACCGAAACCACTACAATTCCCTTTCAAAAATCTCTCCTTCCTCAATCCTCCAAATTTCCCTCGCCCCACACTGCAAAACTCCTCTAGAAGCTCCATTGCTGGTCTCAGATACCTCGAATTCCTTAACCCCAAACTGCTATGGCTGAAACTCGAAGCCCCCGCTTGATAATTTTGGTTTTGGAGCCCCGAAACCGCCATTGATGAAATCAGAGAACCACCATTGTTGGCCTGGTTATTAGCCCCATAGAATAGATTCACAATCCCGTCCATTCTCAATTCATCCTCTGGTTTTGGACCGGATTTTACAGTTGGGTTTTGCTGCATCATATCCAGGTGTCTTAGAGGAGATAGAGAGAGAGAGAGGGAGCCATGATCATTGCTTTCAAGGTCTTGTAGCAAAACTGGGTAATCCAAGAAACCCTGCTTCTGATTCTGATCAGGAATCAGCATATGGAGCTCAGTTTGGCCAGACCCCTGCTGCGGCTCTGTCTCAGAGCAGCCCCTACTGTTTCTCTCTCCTCCGACATAGTTTCTCTCTCCTCCTGGATTCATCAGATAAAGCTGCATAGCTTGGCCATTAGCCCTTGCGTTGTTGCTCCCACTGCTGAAACCGCCATTAAAGCTCCAATCCGAGCTTTCCTGATGTGGGTTCGAGCCATGGCGCCAATTGGAGCACCTTTGAGCCATGGCTAAGAGGTCAGAACCTGAGTTGTTGAAGTTGAACATGTCCGACAGGACCATGGTGGGCTCGAACCCATGGACACCGGGCTCGATGGTGGGCTCGATGTGCTCGAACCCGGCAGGGTTCGAGTTTGTCGGGACCCTGAGCTTGTCTCTCCGGCTGCGCTGCGCTATGTGCGCTCCGATCGTTGATGGTTCGGGTTCGTCTCCTGAGTGTCTCTCTCTACCCAAAGGGTCCTGGAAGAAGGTCGAGGACATAGAATTGAGGTCCTTTTGAGCCCGAAATGATGGGTTCTGGTGCTCGAAAAGGGCCACTACGACCATGGTGAAAGCTGGTCGATGAGAGAGAAACTGGGGTTCGCCATGGCTACCTGTAGAGAGAGAAAGACGTATAGAGAGTGTCAGTTTCTTCTTTCTAGAGAGCGAAAGCGTTACTACTACTTTCCAGCAAGAGAGAGAAACAGCATGGCTTCCTGCAAAATAGAAAGAGGTAGCTTCCTTCTAGAGAGAGAGAGAGAGAATATGGCTCCTAGAGAGAGAAAGAGAGAGCTTCTGGCTTCCTGATATACAGAGAGAGAGAGAGTGGTCAGTATGGGGATCTGAACAGGAGAGAGAGACAAAGATGGGTCTTTTTCTTCTCTTCCTTGTGTGTGTTTCCTTTTCTCATGTGGGGTGAGGATTTCCTTTCTTTTTTTTTTGTTACCTGAGTTGAGTGTCTGTGGAGACCCTCCTTTCTCACTCTAGATTGCAGTCTCTCTCTCTCTAAAACCACACACAAACACTCACTCTCTCTCTCTCTCTCTCTCTCTGCACTGTCTCCACTGCACTTCGTGCAAGCCCTCCTTTTCTGAAAGTCTCTTTCTCTCTCTATCTCTTCTCGTAAGTCGCTCTCCTCGCTTTGATACCTAGCCCCTCTCTCTCTTCTGCACACACTCTCTCTCTGTCACTTTCTCTCTCTTGTTGCAGTCGACAATCACCCTCTGATAAATCTTAGAAAAAAGCAAGCAAAGGAAAGGAGAAAGAGAAAACCAAATGAGACGTCGCTGTTTTATCTCTCTTTGCCCCCCACCCTCTCTCTCCCTCTTTCTCTCTCTAAGACGCAATCGATCACGCACGTGCCTCAGGCCCCGCTTGATTTAGTGTGCGGTCTCTTTGCACGTGCGACTTTGATGGCCACTCTTAACCGCCTCTTCTAAGTGCCTGTTTTCCCTCTCTTTTTTCCTTGTTAAATTCCTAAATTTTAAAATGGTAATTAATAAATATTAATAATTTTATTTATGAAAAATCATTTGATAGAGCTGCAATTCTATCAAAATAAGTAAATCATCGCCTCAAAATTGCAAGTCAAGTATTGAAAAACCTTTACATCGATCGTCTCAATTTAAACATTATGGTTGCGAAAAAAAATTAGGATTTCAAGTTCTAAAAATAGTGTATATTATAACAAATTATCTAGGCTGTCTATTTTGCTTTTAAAAATAAGTGTTCACAGATCTGTAAAATCTGTTCCATTTTTTTAATTTCAAATTTTATTGTTGGTGCTAAAAATTGATTTTAGAGTCATCATAAAAATTACCGTCACCAAAAATATTTTCTAGACGACGATTTGAGATGAGAATTTATTTTATTTTTATAAATCTTAAGCCTCATAGATACCTCAACCTTTATTTATATTACAAGTTTTTCAGCCAAATCTTGCATACTATTATTTATTGGAAAAAGTTTATATAAGGTTGCAACCTTACATGTAAAACTACAGATGTACCTCAAAAATCCATCGGAAAAGGTAGTTTTAATGTTGAAAAACCCTTTGATTGATCATATCGACATCGAGATGTATGACTGTGAAAAATAAAAAGAGTTTAAGTCTAAAAAATGATGCATTTTACAACATATTATTTTCAAGATTTTCATATGTTTATAGATCTACTTGATTTTAACATTTTTTAATTTTAAAATTTTACAATTAGATATAAAAATAGATTTTGAGATAATCCTAAAAATATTTTACATCAAAATTATATACTATGATAAAATTTTAAGGTGCACCTTACTTCTATAGATACGGATGCATCTGAATGCCACTTGCACCCTTATTTATTTTTTATGTTTTGTCCAGGTTATTTGATATTTATTTATTTCTCCAGCTTACATGGCCTGGTCGATAATTATAAAGCCGGGGACCCAAATTTATTTGTTTATTTTATTTCTCTTTATCTATAGTAATTCATTTGCTGCCCAACCTTGGGTGGGTCCATATTATTTGATTTTACTCTTACTATTTATTTCCACAAAATCTTATTCAAATATTTTTCTTTTTGCAATAATTCATGGGATCTTAGTATCTCAGCAAATCGGCCCTATTTTTTTTGTTTTTCACAAATTTTGTGCAATTTTAATTTGATTGGTCTCATAATTTCAACTGCAAATTGACAGGCCACCTTCCTCAGCTGAAAGTCTGAAACCTTTTGGATGATGTCACGTGAACCTCACTACCGTATGTGTCACTCGCAGGTGTGGATCAAATTATAACGGACGCCTTATGAATATAACGCCCGTTATATTAAAGTGTCGGATGAACTTTGGAGACTTAGGATTTTAAATTATTTGCCAAAAAATGGAAAATGGCTGATCATTTTCAGTTTTTCTTTTGCCATCTTAGTTTTGTTCAGTGTTTAAAAATGTAGATTCTAGCTTAGACTCGCACGGTCTAGTGCTCAAGTGGGTTAGAGAATCGAACAAGTTTATGCCCGACTCAGCTGATTTTCAAATAAAATAGCAACTCATCTGATTGCCCGACAACTTGGGTAGTTCTGGTTCTGAGTGGTTTAGTGATTTTGAAAGGGTAGGGTTTGAATAAGCTCTCTTTTTATACTGTAGGAATGAGGCACATCTCTAAAATTTACTTGGAGATATAGTTGCGGTGATGGAAACCTTATTATGGATAGAAAATCTATTGGCCCTAATTATGAAATTTAAATTTTGAAAAATAGTTATATCGAGCAGATATGTGAATACTTGCAAATCTATAGAAAATAGCTAGTCCAATAACTCGGTACAACATGCACTATTTTTTTTTTATATGAGAATTTTTTTTTCTTTAAATCTGCACATCTTGAGGTTGAAATGATCAATTTAAAAGTTCTCTAAGCACCTTATAAGGGTTCAACCTTATATAAACTTTATCCACTTTTTTTCAATTTTTAATCACTTATCATTCTTTCTCTACAGTCCGTTATACTTTACGTAACATAACAGTAACAAGAACGGCCTGTTCATAACCGTGATTTCCATGTTTTTCGAAAGGACATCTCCCACTGTCGGCTCGACTCAGCTTAAATGGCTCTAGACCGGCTCACCTGACAAGCCACTTGAGCCAAGCCCGTTTCACGTGCGAGCAAGGTGTTGGCACGCTTGAGTATTTGGGCCTAAAATATAGAGAGCGTCTAAAAGAGGACTTTTCGAGAGATTCGTGGTGAGGTGAGAACGTTGCCACGTGTCCGTTAGAGGAAAGCTACTTCTAACCAGCACCAGTGGCTTCCTTGTGAGCCGCACACCACCCACCCCTTTCTCTCTCCTCTCTCTTTCTCTCTCTCTCTTTCTCTCTCTAAAAATATCTCATGTTTTAGAGGTGGGGGGAATTGGAAAGGCTAAGCTCTACTCTCTCTTTCTCTCCAAAATCCAGACTCTTGTCTCAAATCTCTCTCCTTCTCTCTCTCTAAAAACTTTGCTCTCCCTCTCTCTCTCTAAAAATATCTTTAAATAACGGAGAGATTGTGGCCTTGGAAATGCGAGGGGTAGGCAGAGACGGATGAGAGAAAATTATGAAAAGGTGCTTCTTTTTCTTAAAAAGTGCGGTTTGCAACCTTACACGATCCAGCGCATCTTAAAATTTTATCATAGCATCTAATTTTGTTGTAAATTTCTTTTAGTATTATCTTCAAATCTATTTTTATACTTAATTACAAAATTTTAAAATTTAAAAATAATTAAAATCAAGTAGATCTTTAAAATCTTGAAAATAAACGGTCTAGATAATGTGTTGCAAGACGCACTATTTTCAGGACACAGAAACTGCATTTTTTCATATTAATACATCTCGACATCGAGATGATCGATTAGAGGGGCTTTTCAACATTAAAACAATATTTTCGATAGATTTTTGAGATGCATATGTGATTCTACATTTTAAGGTTGCAACCTTATTAAAACTTTTCCCTTTCTTAAATACAACTATATAAGAGGAAAAGGAGTCATGTAATTAAATGACATGAAAATAAAAATGTTACCTTTGGGGTTCAATTTAGTGTTGGGAAATCAACAATTATAGACTTAAAAATAATAAATCTTATACACTAAAAATAATATGCTCATGTTAACTACTATTTTATTTTTTTGATCACTAGTTTTAACTTTAGTAAATCACTAATTTTATTTTGATATATCTACGTAAAATAATAAAAAATCATTTTTTTGACACACTAACGTGGTATTGTAAAAATGTCTTAGAATAATCAAAGTCAATTGCTGTTGGATTGATATAATTTAAAATGTGTGTGGCTTATATAAGTTGTCCACCTTAAACAAAGTAAGGCGCGTTCCGGTGCCAAAAACTCTTACCATGGCTTAAAAGTCAAGTTTTACTTCTAATTAAAAAATTTAAAATTTGCTAATCGAGAAGATTGAATTGTTTGTGTTACAAGATGAATTATTTTTAAACCTTAAAATCATATGTTTTCATATCCATGTATCTTGAAGTCGATATGATCAACATGAGGGTTTTTTACGGTCAAAACAATATTTTTTTATGGATTTTTGAAGTGCGCCTCATTTTCAGAGTATAAAGTTGATACTTTATATACACTTTTTCCTTTTAAAATAAATTTTTTTTGAATTTCTTGTGGAATTATTTGTCTAAAAATAGAAGAAGCATATATTACGATTGATTTGTTGATGGAACCACATGTGATCTACTACAAAAGGCTAGTGTAACATGAGGACTGCTCGTACTGATCATTTTTTGTCATTGTTGTTATTCGAATAATTACTTTCCATCTTTAGCTTATAATAGAAATAGAAACTAATTCAAATTCCGTTTATTTATGCATAGAGATCAAGATACCAATAATAGGTACTTCCAAAAAACAATCGTCTAGGGGAAAATCTTAGATACTAAAAACAGTTATTTTTTATAATTATTGTTATTGGGACATGATCGGTGTGGAGTTTTATAATTGTGGTGCTTATTATTTGTTTTATCCGGAAGCTGTTGAATATTTGTTGGGATTTTGGGATATAAAATATGGCATTTATCAGAAAATAATTACATTAGTAGGTACGAATTCGAATTATTCTCAATTAAAATTTTAAATCTGTTAAGTTCTTCATAACTTATAAATTGGCAATATTTCTAATGTGTATCAAAACTTAAATATCAAAAATCACTATCCAACTTAAAAGCTTTACAGCCTGTTTAGATATAATCATTATCATTGATAATTCACCGATTCGATAAAGTTAATTCTGATAACGAGTTTATTATTTATAATTTGGTACATGAGATAAACTTATATA